CGAATCTATAGGTTAGAATTATTGAGTAAACACATGAAGACTGATTGTCACAGGAGTAATTATAAATAATACTAATTATGGTTAAGTATTTTACAGTGTGAGCAAAGTATGGGGCACATATGCCTACAGTTCTATCTATTTTGGGTTGCTGGAGTGGGAGGATCCATTGAGCACAGAAAGTCTAAGACTAGCCTGACTAACATAACAAGACTTTGTCTCAGAAAAAATATAGGAAATTACATATTACAAGTTCTATGAAAATCATGCTTATTTCTACTGCATGATGCTTGGTGGGAATGAAAGGAAAGTGTGCTCTCACCTATCAATAGCCACTATATATCAGACTGAAAGAATGTTCATCTTTCTATTGCACAAATGAGGAGATATTTCAACTCAATCTGATGTGTGATGCTTATACACTGTGTGAATATGTATTGCTGTGACTGGTGTAATAAAAAGCTGAACAGCCAATAGTTAGTCAGGAGAGATAGGCAAGGTTTCCATGGAGAGAAAGGAAGAGGAGGAGGGATCTAGGTACACGGGAGATGCCAAGAGACATGGGGGACGAAATAGGGGGCACAAAATGGAAGAGAGGGAATACCATGTCATAGAACATAGATGAATATAAATGGGTAAATTTAGGTTATAAGAGCTAGTTAGGAACAAGCCTAAGCTATAGGGGGAACTTTCATAGTTGATAATAAGTCTCTGTATAATTATTTGGTGATGTGGGATTCCCCTCTGTATGCTGTGAATGTGTTTTATTGTCATTGGTTGATAAAGAGTCTGCTTTGGGCCTATGGCAGTGCAGAATAGAGCACAGCAGGAATTCCAAGCAGAGATAGAGGAGAAAAGAACACTGAGTCAGGGAGATGCCATGTAGTCATTGAAAGCCACAGATGCTGGATGGAGCCTTATCGGTAAACCATATTCATCTTTTTGGGTCTGGGTTATATCACTCAGTAAAGTGTTTTCTATTTCCAGCCATTTGCAAGCAAAATTCAAGATGTCATTTATTTTTTTTTAACCGCTGAGTAGAACTCTAATGTGTATATTGCCACACTTTCTTTATCCATTCTTCCATTGAAGGGCACCAAGGGGATGTTCCCAGCTAGGTCCTTGGGCAGCAGAGGAGAGGGTGCCTGAACTGGCCTTCTCCCATATCCACACTGATGAATATCTTGCATATCACCATAGAACCTTCATCTGGCGATGGATGGAGATAGAGGCAGAGACCCACATTGGAGCACTGGGCTGAGCTCCCAAGGTCCAGATGAAGAGCAGACGGATGGAGTAGATGAGCAAGGAAGTTAGGACCGTGAGGGGTGTGTCCACCCACTGAGACAGTGTGACTGATCTAGTGGGAGCTCACCAAGACCAGCTGGACTGGGGCAAAACAAGCATGTGATCAAACTGGACTCTCTTGGCTGACAATGGGGGCTAACTGAGAAGGCAATGGTAATGGCACTGGGTTTTGATTTTACTGCATGTACTGGCTTTTTGGGATCCTAGTCTGTTTGGATGCAAACCTTCCTAGGCCTAGATGAAGGAGGAGGGCTTTGGACTTCCCACAGGACAGGGTACCCTGACTTCTCTTAGGACTGGAGAGGGAGGGGGAAGAGAGAGTGGGGGGAATGGAAGGGAAATGGGAGGAGGTGAAAATTTTTAATAAATGAAAAAATAACATATAAAAAATAAAATGTCTGCATTATTGCTTAGTAATATGATCAAATAAAAAATTTAACCAACAGAAACAAAACAAAACAAAAAAACAGCAAATATAAATAAATAAGAGGACGTTTTGACTCAGCATTGGCAGCAAAGGCTGCTCAGCTTCTTTAGGGGTGGGCTTTTTGGTTCATGCTAATTGCATGAACAGCTCTGGCTCTTTCAGGAGGCCAAGCATGTAAATGGGGGTCTGTAAAAAGTGTGTTGCAAAATGCTTAATGGTGACATAGACCCACTCAACCCTGTAGCTGGAGTGGAGTGGTGTGCTTGGCTCTCAGAGGCAGTGAACATGCCTCCACCATGTTGGACTGGGCAGAGCCAATAGGCAGTACCATGTAGTTGGTCCTATCCATGCCTGCTTAGCATTTTAAAAAAAGCATTCCTGGCCTGGCGATGGTGGCGCACGCCTTTAATCCCAGCACTCGGGAGGCAGAGGCAGGCGGATCTCTGTGAGTTCGAGACCAGCCTGGTCTAGAGAGCTAGTTCCAGGACAGGCTCCAAAGCCACAGAGAAACCCTGTCTCAAAAAACCAAAAAAATAAAAAAATAAAAATAAAAAAGCATTCCTGGTCAGAAACAAATTATAGATAAGCATACAATAAAGACAGATTCAGATGAAAAAGACCTCTAAACGAGTTACAGTGTTGAATAAATGTATGTAGGCTTGGGAGAGAGAAGAAAATGAGTACAAATAATTATAATATAAAAGAGTACATACAGTCATAGATAAAGGAGTAAAGATAATAAAACACATACCTAACTTGTAAAAAAAATATAATAGAGTAAGAAAAATAAGCCATGTAAAGATGGAATATACACAGAGAGTGTGGGATATATATATATATATATATGTATTTTCTTTGAATTTTATGACTGTGAATAAGCTAAATACAGAGAAACATTTCATTGTACAGGCTGATAAGCTAAACCAACATATATTTGGGCAGGAAACTTTCCTTACCTTGACTACTGACTGTATGCTGTCAAAACCGGACAAGCAGGACACAAAAGAAAACAACTTCTAAACTTTCCCAATACAAGATAGTACAATCCTTCAAAATCCTGATTCACAGAAAAGTCTGTCAAATATTCTATGTCTGTAAACCAAATATGGATGTCTCAGCCTTGCAGAGGAATTTTGAGTGACTGTCCAGGCAGTCAGCTGTTTCTGTCTTTTCTGTACTTTTGGAAGTACACTTCCTGTTCGTTCAGGTAATATTATATCCTTCTTGGATTTTTGATGGGGTTGAAGACTAAATAGTTATAGTTTTATAGCTTTCCTTGTTTCTAAATTCAGAAAATAAACTTACATAAGAGATGTAAAGTTTTTAAGGTTGAGAAACATAAAAGTTAAATTGTTTATCTAATCAGATATTTTTACATCTACACAGATATTTTTAAGATGGTAATACAAGTTATAATATAAAGTTAGATACAAAACTTTGAATTCACTTAGATAGGATAGACAATACAGTACTTTCTCCAAATTTGCCAAGTACATATGAACTAAACTTTGTGAATATAATTCTTACTTGATAATTGTTCTCATTGTATATAGTTTTACCTTGTTCAAGTTAAAACCTTTCCTTTTTATTTAGACAAAAAGAAGGAAACGTGGGATATTTTTACAGTGTGGGTAGATGTATTGCTGTTATTAGTATAATAAAAATCTGAACAGCCACTAGCTAGGCAAGAGTTATAGTTGAAATTTCCAGGGAAAGAAAGGACAATGAGGAGGAATCTAGGTGCACAGGAGATGCCAGGAGACATGGAGACAATACAGGGGCTGCAAGATGAAAGAGAGATAATGCCATGTGATAGAACATAGAGTCATATAAATGGGTCAATTTAAGTTATAAGAACTAGTTAGGAACAAATCTCAGCTATCGCCAGCCAGTCTCTGTTATTATTTGGGAGCTGGTTGGCTGGACAGAAGAAGATTTGTCATACCAATACCTAACTGTAGTCTGAACATTTGTCTTTATACTCAAAGATAAGTATATTCTTCACCCTGCACCAAAGAAAGTTCTCTTTGCAACATACAAAGATGATTTCAGGCAACTACAACCAATCAAAATTGTGGATTTGTGAAGTCCAGTTCCAATGGCTACATCTACAAAACAACCCACACACCTGAGGTTAAGGGAACATTGGAAGAGATGGAAAGATTGCTAAGAGACAAAAAGAAAGATTGTGGTGTGACACTGTATCTTCCATGGATGTCAGGGATGTACCCACCTATGAAGTTTTACTAACATGGCTTCACAAACATGAGATAAACAAGGATAATAACAACATATATCCTGAAGTGGGTGGAGAAAGTGCCCAGCCCTATACAAAAGTACAAGCAACTAAGATATGCTGAGAGTGGGAGAAATAACCTACCCCAGGGAAAAGTACACCAACTAGTTATCCAGTACCATATAGTCAACTCTGAAAAATTACATACAAGTAACATTATGCAGAATGAGCAAGTTGTATTTATGTACTCAGGAATATATATCTATTTAAATATATAGACAGATTTTATAACAGCAGTTATTGAAAAAGAGAGGCCACGAATTTAGAAGAGAGCATTGAGGGTTCAGAGGGAGGAAAGGGATGAGGAAATGATGCAATTATATTTTAATCTCAAAAATAAAGAATAAAAACACAAAGCCAAATGAGTTGAACTGATAGCTACACACTAAGATGGGACAACAATAAGAGGACAGCGAAAAACGTTGAAAGAGGTGCTAAATTGAAGCATCACTTTCTTTCAGAAAGCAGTGGATGCTGAGACAAAAAAAAAGAAACACTAACAGGAACCAACAGTTATTGTGGAAGAGCATCAGATTTCTACCACTAACACAGATTCACACTTATGACATAGGAAGATGTTCGATTCCCAAGGAAAGAGCAGAGATTTGTCCATCAAACTTAGATGCCACCTGCAAAGTTTAAAGCCCAGATCTTACCAGTGTAGAAACAGTAGCCTAAACTTGGAAAAGATCATGGAATTTGCCTCGAAAGCTTGAAGGGGATCATTAAATTTTGAGGAAATCTTCCAAAAATCTCAGAAATGACTATTAGACATGAGAAGAAAAGCCTTTGTTTTTGCAAATGTACATTTTTAAGGAGGACATCACTCTTAATCTTTCCAAAATATCAGGTCTTAGAGAATAGACTGGCTTGAAATTGCAATGAAAACTTTTTAGTTAGAATTCCTCCTAGCATGATTCACGGACTAATTGTAAAGACAACAAAGAAAAATAAACAATTGGAATCCTATACCTTATTTCACCTTCTCTAATGTGACCTGCCAGCTCTTCAATAAACTTCTCGCCTTTCATCCAATAGATCATTGGTCCAGACTCTCCACTGAATCCAAAGAATGCTTTGCATGGGATATTCAGAGGTTTACCTGAGAAAGAGAAAAAAACAACAAATGAGCAAATCTCTTCCTGTTCTTATTGTGAGACAAGGATGGACAGTTCACATACAAAAGAAAACTCACAGGTGGCCTATTTTCCAACAATTCTTGCGTGTGAGAAAAAATGTTATTATGAGAGCTTCAGGAAAATTATTAAATTCAAGCTATTATAAAAATTGAAAAGTAAATAAATTATTACTTTATAGCATTTTAATTATATTGTACCTCTCCCAAGAACTGACATAAAAGAATCAAATGGAATAATCCCTAATTATTTTTTCTTTTTTGAGAGTACTAAGTATTTCTAATGAGAATTTGCCTTTAAAATTAAAATTATTTAAGAGCATATGTTAATTCTTTATAAGTGAGAAGGTATATCAATAATAGAGTGTCCACTATTTAGATTGTATAGACTTTAATTTGTTTCTTCCTATTATGATCTATTTTGAGAAAAATAATACAGAATCCTAGTTAAATTTTGGTGTTGACTTGAGAGGATTAAGGGATACCACCATAGCTGATCATCATTATTTCTGGTCACATATATAAGATTTTTTTAGAAGAGGTTGGCATCAGAGGTGATGGGTTGATTTGAGATTGTACACACTGTTGAGTGCCCAGGTGGAATTAAAAAGCGAGAGTGTGGCTATACACCTCCTTGTTTTTTTCTCTCTTCTCCCCACCTCTCTAGTATAAGTAAAGGTGTGTACTTGTGTCTAGGTATGGAGACCAGAGATCAATGCCAGGTGTCTTCTATAATATTTTTGCAGCATTGTCTCTTAGTAAATCTGGTGTCTTCTTTCAGTTGGCAACCTGTTTGTTACTATTGCAGTTGGGCCAGGCTGCCATGTCCAGGTTTTTGTGTAGGTAAAGGGGATCTGAACTTGGTCCTCTTGCTTATGTAGTAAGCAATTTATTTACTCAGCGATCTCCCTGGTCCTGGGACGGTTAATCTTGATTATCAACTTGATGAGACTAATAAATTTCTCAGGGATTAGTTAAGAATACCTCTGTTTATGTTCCCAGTGACATTTCTAAGGAAAACTGGATTACAAAAGGGCTTTCATCTTTTTGGGTCTGGGTTACCTCACTCAGGATAGTTGCCCTATCCTATAGCCATACTGATGAATATCTTGCATATCACCATAGAACCTTCATCTGGCGATGGATGGAGATAGAGACAGAGACCAACATTGGAGCACCGGACTGAGCTCCCAAGGTCCCAATGAGAAGCAGAAGGAGGGAGAACATGAGCAAGGAAGTCAGGACCATGAGGGGTGCACCCACCCACTGAGACAGTGGGGCTGATCTATTTGGAGCTCACCAAGGCCAGCTGGACTGGGACTGAAAAAGCATGGGATAACCGGACTCTCTGAACATGGCGAACAATGAGGGCTGATGAGAAGCCAAGGGCAATGGCACTGGGTTTTGATCCTACTGCATGTACTGGCTTTGTGGGAGCCTAGCCTGTTTGGATGCTCACCTTGCTGGACCTAGATGGAGTGGGGAGGACCTTGGACTTTTCACAGGGCAGGGAAGCCTGACTGCTATTTGGACTGGAGACGGAGGGGGACAGGAGTGGGGGAACGGGGAGAGGAGTAGGGGGTGGGGGAGGAAATGGGAGGGGAGGAGGCGGCAGAAATTTTTTTCAATAATAATAAAAAAAGAATAGAAAGAAAGAAAAGGGCTTTCAAACAACCACTGAAACCCTGGAGGGGTATGTTATGTGATTGCAAACGTGGAGTTTGCTGGAAGGTGGGTGGGTGGTTTAGCCTATTGGAATAAGTAGGTTTCTGGTGATAGGTCTTTGAGCTATTCCCGTCCTCCTTTGTGCGTGACTTGCTATTCATTTCCTATGTCAAGAAATAAAGAAGTGCTTCTTTCATTACAGCCCTGCTCTCACCATGTTTTCTGCCCAAGTTTTTCAGGGGACAAAGCTACCAGGAACTGGACTTTATGAATGCATAAGCCTAAAAGCATCTTTCCCCCTTAAAAGTTATACGCAAAGGACAATGGCACGGGGGTTTGATCCTACGTAATGTGATGGCTTTGTGGGAGCCCAGCCAGTTTGGATGTTCACCTTCCTAGATATGGACGGAGGTGGGAGGTCCTAGGTCTTACCACAGGGCAGAAAACCCTGACTGCTCTTTGGACTGGAGAGGGAGGGGGAAAGGAGTGGGGGGAGGGGGAGAAGGGTGGGAGGAGGGGGCGTAGGGGGGGAGGAGGGGGAGGGAAATGGGAGGCTGGGAGGAGGTGGAAACTTGTTTTTTTTCTCCTTTTCTCAATAAAAAAAAGAAAGAAAAAAAAAGTTATATTACCCATTACTTTGATCACAGTGACAGAGCAGTCACTAATGGAAAACAGTCATTACTAGAAAACTTACCCTTTTTGTCCTAGACCCTACTCTTCTTTTCCTGGTTTTGGATACTAGGACTAGAGTTCTCTTGCCCTTGAACTCAAAGATAGCCACTAACAGTAATTTAAGATCTCTTGTGTCTTCAACTTCTTCATTGAGAGCTACACCAGAAGTTTCCCTGGTTCTAAGATTTTGAGTCTTGCTACTGTCTTGGTTGTTTATCACACAAAAGCTTGTTGTGGTTTGTTTCAATTTCCATAATCACATGCATTAATCCTCTTAATAAATTATCTTTCATCACATTGGTTCTGCCTCTCTGGAGGATCTTAAAATAAACTAAAATTAACATGTTGAATTACAAATATGTCTACAAATACAACCTCAGGAAAAACTCAATTTTGACATATATTCCATATTCTTTACATTACTTACAGTGTTTAATAATTATAGAAACATTATATAACTTTGTTATGTAAATTTTAATTATATTTTTTTCATCATATATACAGGTATTTATAATTTTGATGGTATGAATTGTATGTTTTTTCCTGTAAAGTAAGTATGGGAAGAATGATATAGAAAATACAATGCTGGCGCTTGACACATGAATCAATCCACTTATAACTATATCATAGTATTTTAGTAAGGGTTTATATTGCTGCAATGAAGCATCAAAAAGCAAGTTGGGGAAGAAAGGGCTTATTTGACTTACACTTCAACATTGCTGCCATTGCTGAAGGAAGTGAGGACAGAGACTCAAAGGGCAGGAGTTAATGCACAGGCCATGGAGGGGTGCTGTTTACTGGCCTGCTCCCCATGACTTGCTCAACCTGCCTTCTCATAGAATCCAGGACCACCGTCCCAGGGGTGTCACCACCCACAATAGGATGAGCCTTGTCCCCTTGATCACTACTTGAGAAAATACTTTACAGCTGCGTCTCATGGAGGCATTTCTTCCACTGAGGTCCCTTCCTCTCTGATGACTCTAGTTAGTATCAGGTTGACACACAAAACCAGCCAGCACACATAATTTTCTCCACAAATCACACTTTTCCATTGTTTAGAACACGAGAAAAACCACTTCAAAAATATTTTCCTTGTAGAGCTTTCATCCTTATTCTCTACCATAGACAAAGTCCTCATTCTATATTAAATTTATCAAAAGCTTTCATGTTCTAAATTATTACTTTCTCAATCAAAATATCTTTCAGCACCACAACTAGAAAATGACTTTCTTGGACATTTTTTTCATAAAGGAACAACTAAATAGGAGTTAGAGTCTATGTGAAGGCAAAGTAGAATACAAGGAACTCATAAACACAGAGATATTGGGCAATAGCTTGGGCTTAACCACATAAAGACATATATTGATGATATTTTATTATAATATTAATATATCCCTTCTCAAATTTCAGGTCCTGGACCTTAGAAATCTCCTATAGTTATCCAATTTGTCAAGGTCAAGAATCTGCACAATGTGATTAATACAAATTAGAGACTGTATCTTTAAACACATGCTTCATTTGAAGTTGGGTAAAAGTAAGATACTTGTGCATTATAGAAAGTACATTGGACTGAAATTCAAGAAATTTGGATCTTATATTTAAATATGTCATGACCATAGCCCCTGAGCTGATACTCCTAACCTAACATTATATTAATTGCCTAAGGATGTAGTGAGGTTGGAAGATGGTAATAATTCTGGAAGCTCAAAGAAGACAATGTATATGAAAGTGTTTCATGAACTCAAAAACATTATTGGAAATTTAGCTCAGTATTTTCTGTCTTCTCAGACTTGATTGTCCATGGAGAAATTAAATTTGAGGAGAAGTCTGATATGGTCTTGAGACAGAGATATTTTCATTTGGACTGTGGCAATATTGTTTTCTTTTATTTATGAACATCTGTGGGACAATACTTTCAACATTTTCTTATAAATTTTTCTTGCATTTAGAATATGCATGATTCACCTGAAAAGAGCCTATGTTTTCTAAACCTGAAAATGTTTTTTTCCTATGCCTTTTGCCTTTCATTCTCATAACAAAACTAGTCTACAGTCCACAACTCCAGAGAACCTAGACAACAAAGAGGATCCTAAGAGCTACATACATGGATCTACATAGGAAGGAGAAAAAGATAAGATCTCTCGAGTAAATTGGGAGCATTGAGGTCACAGGAGAGAGTAGAAAGGGGAGAGGAGGAGAAGAGGGCAGTAGAGAAAAATGTGTAGCTCATTAAAAACAATAAAAAATAAACAAGATGACAGAAAAATTAATAGATCATGATAAACTTTATTATAAGAAATTTTAATCACTAAAACTACCAGTGTATACAATTATAGATATAAATATTGGTTATTGTTCTTTTGGGCTATCTTGAAAATATATCTGATATATATCATCTAATTTACATATAGACACATTATATAATATATATTAAATATTCTACATATTTAATGTCTTTATATATTAAATTAAATGTCTACATATTAAAATATCTTTAAATGATTCTTAGTGTGTGGGTGTCCATGACTGGTATGATTTTAATCGAGAAAGGCAATTATTGTAGTGTTTAAAAAAGGGATCTTCTTGAGGTGCTCTATCAAAAATAACAGTGTCTGCCCTTTCCCTTGACA